GCGTGGGGCGGGGCGAGCGCGGGCAGCGGGCACTCGGGCACGGCGTGCACCACCTCGCCGCGCGCGGACACGCACACGCTCTGCGGGTTGGCCCACAGCACCGGGTGCGCCGCCTCCAGGAAGCGGTGCCGGTACAGGCTGCAGTCCTGAGGATGGTGACGTACAGATAGCCGCTAATACACTGCGAGTGTGCGCCATCAGACGGTGTACGTACCCTGCTGGTGGAGAGGAAGGCGGCGTGCGAGAGCCAGGCGATGGCGGTGGTGACGTCGCGGTGCTCGGCGAAGGTGGCGAGAGGCACGTGCGGGCGGCGCACGTCCCACACGTGCACTGCGCAGTCCAGCACCAGCGCGCACGACGCCACCTGGTACCTCGCGCACGACACACAATACTCACACACTAAGCTTCTCACAATTACTTAAGACTTCATAAGAAATACGCATACGAACAGCGAAGTTTTTTTTAATCACCAATTTGGACTTACTTTTTTTGTGGCCGCCATTTAACGTGACCGACAGATGCAATCGTGTATATGGTGTATTCCAAGTTAGGCTTCCCGTGCATGTCCCACACCTGTAATACATACACATAATCAACATCTCACATTCAAATGACATCAGGAAATTTTGAAGATGTTATTTGGGACGATATAAAGTCAGTTGTTGAGAGTGTTAGATAGAAACGATGCGCTGCTCCATCGTCTGGGGATAACGATATCAGTCGACAACCAACAGGTTATCGTCTAATTATATCATCTGGACGTTATGTACTGTGTACAACGGTAAAACCGATTTATACAATAGACAACTCTCGGTCATTTAAAGCTGGCACAAGTAAAACATTGTCAGTGTCGCTTGGCTAATTACTTAATTATGTACAATACTTGCTTTTTTATATTTCAAGTTCTGTCATATACTAAATGGTCTCTGCTTCTCGAAAAATTTTCAAGATTTATTGCGAACAGGACACTTTTAATATCAACCTAGCTTCATTTGTCTTACAAAAAAATAAGACAAACAAAGCAAAAAGGTTATAAAGAATTTTTCTCGAATATGTTAAATTTTTGTTTTGTCTATTTTTTTATAAAAATATAACGAACAACTAAACATCTTACCACATTGTGAATAATTGCTATCATTGTGTATCGAACTGATTAAAGTATTTATAACATCGACGTTTAATATAAACAGGATCAAAACATCGCCATAACAAGTGGTAGTGATGAGATAAGGCGCAGACAGACACAAAGCTGAGCACAGACACGTGTCTGTTATCGCCGCGACCTAGTTCCTGCATGTGCAGCACACACACACAGCACACGCGTACAATTACATCACTACTTTGATTGCTAAACTATATATAAACATTAATAATAAAGCTTACTGGATGAAGCACCATTCAAAATAGTCTGAAGTAAACGTCTATTAAAAATTCTACCAAAATCAAAAGTAATATAAAGTTTGGGAACTTTCATATAATGCATAGTGACCTTTATAGTCTTGTCGCGCGAGGCAGTGGCGAGCCAGGGCACGTCGGGGTGCCAGTCGCAGGCGAAGACGGGCCCAGAGTGCGCGGTGAACTGCTGCAGGCAGCGCTCGCTGCGTCGCGAGTCCCACACCTGCACCGTGCCATTCTCTGATACAGCTGCGAATGTGTGCGCCTGATGCGGGCTGAACTGCACATCCCGTATTGACTCTGTGTTGCTATACAATACATTAAACACCTTGTAACTCTATCATTGTTACAAAATTAAAATTAAGAAAAAAGATAAAAGAAAAAGAATGAAAATGTTAATGGATTGTGTGCGAGAAGATTTGTGTAAAAATGGATTGATAAGATAGTCGATGTATTGAAAAGCATGTGCCAACTGTATGTAAATTTTTAAATGTCACAAAAATCTAGATTTTAAATAAACAGCAGTCTAAATATGAGAATGTTAACTGACCTGATAAATGTACGAGCCACCTCTTTCATACGAAGATCAAAACATTTCATCATGCCATCCTGAGAACCGGAGATCAGAAGTGATGGCTCTGTCAAGTGAAAACTAACCTAGAGAGAAAACAAGTTCTTATTCATATTATACGTAAATAACACATAACTTATAATTTTTCCCTATACTTAAGCATTATTTTCTTTCAAAAAAAGCATATACCTTATTAACAGTTCTTTTGTGGTCAGAGAAGACATGTTCCTGTTTGGAGCGTCCTGATCTTCCGAGATTCCAAACAACTACAGCCCCATTGGTAGCCGCTGTGGCCAGAGTGTTCTCTGTATATAAAAAAAAATTCTACTAAACTTTCTCCTATTAAATTAAATTAGAGGTGAAATTATATCCCACAGTATTAGAAAACTCAATGTTTAAAATTAATAAATTTAAGACTTAAAGGCAATACCTTCTATTGTGCTCCAAGCTACATCAATGGAAGAAAAATTCAAATTTAAGTTTTTTCCCACCCTCAGGTTGCACACTTCTGAAAACTCATCTTCTCCAATTGAAAACACTTTGAACACTGAAAAAATAGAGAAAGAACAAAAACTTAAACTAATGAAATACAAGGATAAGTTATTATATTTCAACAATTTTACCATTTCGTCCAGCTATAACAACTTGTGTACAATCTTTGTTTAAAGCTAATGCATTTGCAGGACCTTCCTGCGAAACACATATTGTATTGGAAGGTATCATTGTCCAAAACTAATATTCTTGAGCCTTCTACACTATTTACAAATACACTGTATCACACATAAACATATCCCATGTTACGGTTAACCTATAAGACTTTCGAAGTTTCAGATCAAATTGAAATTGGACGGAACCAGTTTAACAGATAGCACTTTTATCAATAGACATATTTATTCTCGAATACAAAACCACTATTTCTCATAAGTATGTACACCTTATTCCTATAAGTTCGGCGTATTATTATTGCTGTCAATCTTTTGTTATCATTTTTGTCGTTTATCAGTTGTTGTCACTGTCAATAACACTTGACAGTGACAGTGATAATTCTGAATTACGCAGAATTTAAATTGAAAAAGATTTAATTCAATATTTTTACGACAGATACAGATGCTATCAAATCATATTTACATTGTAAGTATTATTTTTTGGAATTTGATACGCTTTTCGATAGTTTACGCGAGGTTAAACATTTTAAAACGTAAGATTTTTTTTTCGTTGTAAATTGTCAAACTGACACTTCACTTGATTATGAACGTCAAATTTTTGATTACACAAAAGTGCAGAAAAGCAAGTGTGAGGATTTGTTGTAAATATTCGTAATGGTTTTAAGAAAATAAACATAATAACTGCTATGTTACATTATTATAAGTGAATTTTTGATTTGGTTGCGCGTACACAAATGGAGAGCGGTGACAGAATTCTAGTGGCCGCAGGTCTAACAGCGGCAGTTGTAGTCGGAGCTTTCGTTCTGTGGGGTCCTGGAGGTGCACCACGCGTAAGGAAACGACGCGGGCAAATAGCAGGACTTCAAAACCTTGGCCGAACATGTTTTCTTAATACGCTCTTACAAGCACTAGCGGCATGCCCTATATTCATAGAATGGCTTAGAAAGTACGCGAAAGCCGATGCACACAACAGTATGATAACAACGCTTTATACAGTTATTGAAGGTTTGTTTTGGAAAATGATAATTCAAATTATTATATCAATAATATAAACTTTATCTAAGTGCTTACAGAATTGAATATTGTGAGCTTAATGCATTTGTAATATGAACTATTGACACTATTTCCTAGTGGTGAATGGTACACATGAATCAGCGCGAGGCACGCCGGTGTGCCCGCTGGGCGTGCTGCAGTCGTTGCGTGCGGCCGGGTGGGTGATCCCTGCGGACCAACAGGATGCTCATGAATTACTGCATGTTCTCTTGTCATGTATTGAGGAAGAAACTACAGCTATGGCAAGGAAGGTGGCGTAATAATTCCTTTTATAGCTGTCTAACGATACTTAACATAAAAATTGCAAAGAGCTATATAATATAATAAATATGTACTTGCAGCCAGGTTGTCTCTCAGATGCTCTAGGGCTAGGTGCAGGTGGGCGGGCTTGGTCTGCGCTGGCGTCGCCGGCCTCCCCACCTGCAGCGCCGCTGTCACTGCGCCCTGCTTCTGCTGCGCCACCTGATGAACCTGATCTTGCAGACCCAGGTCCTACACTCATAGTGCAAGGCGGAGTTCTTACAACGATTCTCACCTTATGTATAAACATGTAAATGTTTTTTGACAGAGCCTACACCAGAACCCGCAAAACTGTCCCGGGGTGTGTCGCGCTCATTGTGTCAACTTGGTACGGCATCGCGTCGCTGGGCGGCGGCACCGGCACGTCCCGCCCCAGCACCGCCCACACGCGGCACGCTGGCTTCTCGCCTGCAGTGCACAGTCTGCTCAACAAAGGTCTCAGAATTAATCTTCAGTTGAAATAAAAGCAGAAATCCTGCTATAGATATAGTATTCTACGATAATGTCATGCAATCACCAGCGTTACGTTGTGATATTATTGTACAGAGCCCGGTGCGGTACGACAAGTTTGACAGCATCTCGCTGTCGATGGCCAACGCGAGCACCGGCCGCACCGGCGCCTTCAGCCTGCCCGGTATGTTGCATGTCATGACAGCACATATGTTACAGTGAAAACAGCAGAGATATCAAATATTTCATGTTACCTGTAGGTCTGCTGCGAGCCTTTACCGCGCCCGAGATGGTGAAGGGCGTGCGCTGCAACAAATGCGCGCCGGAGGACGGCGGCATGCAGACCAAACACATACGCACCGTCAGCTTCGGCAAGGTATTTGTATAACATTCACAACTAATGACGTGTTTGGAATTCAATATAATGATTACATAAATGTTTGTATGTGCAGTTGCCGTGTTGCCTGTGCCTGCACGTGGCGCGCGTCGAGTGGTCGGGCGGCGGGCTCAGCAAGCGCGGCGAGTTCGTCGCCTTCCCCGAGACCCTCAACATGGCGCCCTACGCCGCGCGCCAGCAGCCGCAGGTCAGCACCTGGCTCGCACGATGAACCTGACACTTGCTCTTATGTATAAATGGAGTGTGACTATAGATAAATGTGCAGAGCGAGCTGGCGGCGCTGCTGGGCGGGGCAGGTGGCGGCGCAGAGGGCGGGGCGGCGGAAGGGGCGGAGCGCGCGGCGTACCGGCTGGCGGCAGTCGTGGTGCACGTGGGCGGTCCGCGCTCGGGACATTTCGCCACGTACCGTCGCGGAAATGGCTTCGAGAGCAAGAGGTACACACTATACTCTCTTGTATTTCCTCCTTAATAATATGATTGCCTATTTCCTTCAATATCAGAGCGTGCGATTAATATTTGTTGACTTTCCAGATGGTGGTACACATCGGATACTTTGGTGCACGAGGTGGCGCTGCAGGAGGTGCTGCGCTGCTCCGCCTACATGCTGTTCTACGAGCGTGCGCGCAACGAGCCCCGCCCACAACACTTTTAGGCTCCGCCTCCTCCCCCGCCCCGGTAACACGCGCTAGTGCTATGTGTTCGACACATTCACCACAAGAAGACCTAAATATAGATTAAAGAGTTGGAATACCAGGGTGTCAGAGATAAATGAAGAATACAGCGAGAAGACACTACATGACTTTTGCTGACTTTACAATATAAAAATTATCAATCGTTTTAATAATGTGAATTTCTTCAACTTTAATATTAAAATAACTATTTGTAAGTCTATTGAACAATGAAATGTTGCTACTTCTGCTCCGCAATAAGGTGATAGTTTGAAATCTTAAGGAATCCTACTAAATTCAAAGGATGTTTAACTTCCTGCATAAAAGCATTGTGATTGAAATCCATCGTAAAATATGTTTTAGTGAACAAGAAGACATTGCTGACTACACATAGAGGTTTGACATTTTTTCGAATTTTTGAAATACTATACGATAGTTTAAAACTTTCAAATTGATGTTTCTCTCGACTTTATATTGTTGTTGTGAATGTATGTAAAGTTGGTGATTGATGAAGTATTTCTGAACAATTTGTGGTTGTGATATATTCTGTGCGAAGACTGAGAGAGAGAGAGACATGTATCATGTTGTGCTTTTTATAGTTCTTTTGCTTTCAATTAACTCAAGAAACATTTTTTTTCTATGGAAACTACACTTGAAATTAGTACCTGATCTGTTTTGTTTAATGCTCGAGTTATGTTGCATTTACATAGTCTTTTTTATCTTTGCATTTAAATATGTGTTCATGAGATCCCAGTTTTTTTCTACAGATTTGTGCAGTGGATGTCCACTGTAAGCTTTTCTTGTGAAATTTGTACTGTATTGACCTCTTAAGAATTTCTCGACTTAGTAAATTATATTCTTATTTAAAGTAAATCAAACATTTGGCTGTGTACATATTAAAAATTACTATATATCTAAGTATCGTACACTGTTTTTAATGTAGTAGATACAAAATAATATAATTATCTTTTTATGTAAAATAATATTTTAAAGTTAATAGGTTACACAATATCTTAGAGCCGACTTGATCTTTAAAGAAAATTAATTCCTCCAAATATGTATGTAAAAATATGTAGTTTGACCTATTAGCAATATTTTCAGACACAATGAATTTCACTGTCAATGAAAGCTGTATATTGCATTTTTATATTAGAGAAAGATAAAGTAATATTTTGTTAACTGCTGTCACGATTTTGAAATCTCCCCTAGTTTTTGAAGCACATTTGTAGCAAATATCACAACATATCTAAGAGAAAGGTTAAAATCTTTCATATTTTCTGCTAATAGAACTACATACTTACATGTCCAAAAATGATGTTTGCGTGCAGTGGAAACTCACGGTTAGATAAAGCGAAACAACTGCTTTGAGCGAAGTTTTTGTAAAAAAATCTATACTGTTCTGAAAATCCTGACCATAAGTTTTCTTTTGTTTCTTATTTTTATAATTTTTTTTTAAAATTGTTATTTGAGTACAAGCTCGCACTTTAGGTCTAATAGGATGGTTTTAGATCGTGCCATAGAAAGTGTCTGCTGAATGTTGGCCATCATGGTCTTTAATAAGGTTGATAAATACGTATTACTTACAATTGCATTTTGTGTTGTGCTTAAATATTAGTTCGTAGTTAATCATTTACGAGGATTTTTTATTTTATTACTAAATGAATCAAAGAGGCTTAAATATCGTCTTCACTGTATTTTTTTGGATTCCAACATATATAAATTGACGTGATTTGTTTTTTTTTATTAAACATGTGTTTAAATATTGTTGGTTGAGTTATTTGAGTATTAATTAGGATTGAATTATATTGGAGCGGCCAAATTGAATGAAAACGGGTATATGTTTGATGTAATTAAACTAAAATATAATGTAATTATATATATTCTTTTCTATATGTTTAATGTAGGAAGTTGCTCAGATGGAAACATTTTGAATATATATGATAATTTCTTATATCACAAACAAGTGGTGACCACTCACCCGGCGCAACACACTTTATCTTCAATTTAATTCTATTTATAATTGTTTAATAGTTACACTGGGACTCTGTTAGTTTGTAGATTTTGTATGGATTTGTGAGATGTATGTACTTTCAGAGTAATGTATGTGGCAACTGTAGATAGGATTATTTATTTGTGCTATTAACAAATGTTTATTGTAATAAATTGTATTATAAGTTATGTGAGTTTCATTTCTCATTTAAATACTCTGCCCTGTTATTGTGACAAATAGAAAGTTCTCTTTTATAAATGTACGAGCTGTCGCCCGTGACTCCGTCTAACTTAATTAGAAGTCATTTTTGTTAAGATTTGTTTTTCCAGGCTATGTGTTCAGCGAGATCCATGCACCCGTTCTGGAGATACCTTCTACAAAACATCCATCCATCCAAAGATTCAACATATATTATTAGTAAGAAATAAACCATACTTTACAATAAGTAGCTCTTTATTATTTACAATAAAATATATTTATATTACAATAATGTAATGGTCTGAGCGCCATCTGCTAGCAGCTAGCTATCACATCACCGCTCGCCTCCAACTCATGGACTCTGTTCTGTGACATCATCAATGTGAAACAAGGACTTTACTCACAATATGGAAATAATTAAGACATAAATATAAATGTGCTACAAGATGTTAAACAAGAAACAGTGCAAAAAATATATTCATCCTGTTATAATTTGAGGTATCCCGGAGCGTCAGTACAGTGGGATCACAGAACGTCGTCCTTGTATTATATATACATACAATGTGAACATTCTATCTATATTTAATATAAATAATTATTTAAACTGTTCATATTTACAAAGGTCCAGATGTACGGACCCCAACAATTGAGAGTCTAACAATTTATTTGCATATGTCAGCCGGCAGATGTAATAAGTTTCCACTGACAAAACTTGTATAAAAATATATTGAATCTTTCCCTTTGGAAACACAAAGATGTTACCAGTGTTTTTGCAGTGAAAACCCACGGCGACAATTATATCGTAACAAACAGCTCGCATTTAGTTGTTCAGTCGTTTGTAGACTCTCCATTAAAAAAAAAAACAATTTTACTAGAATAATTAAATAACAATAATTATAGCACTTAATAACTTAATTTTATAATATTAATTTTAACTATTTTTACACACAAAGTTTGCATGTTAACACACGTAGTTGTAACAATTGTAAGAGCTTGTAGAAATATAGCGAACGAATAATGATAGCTTGGTTATTTTGACAGATTGACTACAATTTGAAGAGAAAACTTTTTAACGGTCATGTATGAATTACGCTGTTACGGTCGACTGACGTTGGCAATACGAAAAGTATCTTCCGTCGCACTCAAGTCGCGGTTGCGGTCTTCTGGAAGACGGAGGGACTCGGCGCACACGATACAATCCATTCATGACCAGTAGTGTAGTGAGGGGTGAGGAGGTTCACTGCGGCGGGTCGGTGCTGAAGTATGGCGCGGCGTGCGGCTGCAGCAGCGTGCGGCAGACTCCGCAGACGCGTGCGGGGGCGCCGCGCGGCCCGCTCGCCACACAGTGCGACACACACGCGCCGCAGAAGATGCGCCCGCAGTGCCGGCAGTGCACCTGCACCACATACATACACATACATACACACATGCAGTACTGCATCCTCAGCACGTGCTGTGTCACATACACACGTACCTTCTTCTTGTTGTTGGGCAGGGCGGTGTGGCAGGCGGGGCACTCGCTGACGTCCTCGTCGTGCTGCCACCGCACCTCGGTGTCGGCCTCGCGGATGCGCTCCAGCTGCACCTGCAGCGACTGCGACAGCCGCACGAAGTCCTGCTGCACCTTCTCGCTGTTGTCCAGCTCCAGCTGCAGCGCGTGCACCCGACCCCGCACCTCGCACGCCTCGTTCTGCAGCCGCTTCTGTAACGAAACGCACGAGTTAGCGCCGCACCGCAGCCGCTAGCTCGCAGGCGAGCGCGGCTGTGGAGTCGCGGAGGCGGCTCACCTTGTCCTCCAGCAGCTGCTCGATCATGTCGTTGGAGTGGCGCAGCTTGTCCGCCAGCTGCTGCATCTGCTCGCGCTCCGTCTGCAGCCGGTCGAGCTCCTCCCTGGCCGCACATACAAAGCGAAGTGTTAACAAATATATTCCTTTGCGACACATCGACTACGACGGATTGTAATATGTCTCACTTGGCGGCCTTGAGCTGCTCCCTGGTGGCTGCGAGCGCCTCCTCCTGGCGGTGGAAGAGCGCGCCGTGGTGCAGCAGCTGCGCGCGCAGGTCGCGCTCCGCCGCCACCGCCTCCTCGCGCCCCACCTCGCACACGATCAGCTGCTCGCGCAACCGCAGCTGCTGCTCCTGCAGCTCCTGCACCGCACACGCACATATCGCACCGGGTCACCGCTGCACTTCCACATCGCCATGCTCAATGTCAGTCGACACTTACCTCGACGTTATCGGGTAGATCTATTATTTCGTTCTGCATTTCTTCCGCCTTCTTGGTATACTGGCCCACCAGCATGGCGTTGTCTCGTTCTAATCTGTAAATAGCATTACAATAAATATCCGTTTAGGAAAGTCGTTCTCAACAGTATGGTGAGGGTGAGATGCGACACTAACGCGTCAAGTTTCCTCTGCAGCGTCTCCCTGTCGACGGTGAGGGTGGTGACGGTGTGCAGGGCGCGCTGCTCGGCGGCGGCGGCGGCGGCCTGGCGCTCCTCCAGCGCGGCGGTGGCGGCGGCCAAGCGCTCCGCCAGCGCCCCCAGCCGCGCCCCGCCCTCCGCGCGCCACCCCGCCGCCGCCACCAGCGTCTCCTCGTGCAGCGACCGCACGCCCTCCAGCTCCTCCGTCGCCTGCGTACACGTCGCAACACAACGCTCTACAATACAACAGAGACAGAGCAGGCGATGAGACGAGACGGGAGCGACACCTACAAGCTTGAGCGCCTGCTCGAGCTGGTTGGCCTTGTCCCGCGCGGCGTCAGCGCGGCCCTGCTCGCTCACCAGCTGGCGCTCGTAGTTGGCGCACATGTCGCAGCGCCGCAACGTTTCTGTACATAAACAATACATTATTAAACCTACAAAACTATATGGCAATTATAAACTTTTAATATTTTTCTGCTCGCCTGTGTCCTGCTTGGCGTCGCCGCCGGAGCCGGTGGAGGACGCGGCACTCGCCGGCGCTGCCTTGGCTTTCTATATAGTTACAAGAAATGTTTACAAGTTTAACCAAGTACAAATTAAATAGAAAAAAATTATAAACATGTGTTGTATATAAGAATGCCTACCAAAGCTTCCTGCAGCTGTGCATCAGTCTCTCTGAGCTTGTTCTTGAGCGCGGATATCTCCAGCTCCAGCGGCTGGATGATGGAGTTCAGCAGCTCGTTATCTTCTATGTTTTGCTAAAGAAATGACCATCTTACAATGAACACATTCAATGCCACCAACATAGAACACAATGAGGGTATGAGTGTACCTTTCTCTGCGGGTGTTCAGTGTCGGTGTCAGCGCCGAGCTTGCGCGCCAGCGAGCGCACGAAGGTGGCGGGCGCCAGAGACAGCTCCTGCCACACCACAGTACTCAACACTGACCTTCTTGACATTCTTAACTGTAGTACCTACTCTCCTTTATGCATATGCTTCAATCATACTAACATTTTATTTATTTTCAAAAGCGATGTATAAATAACAATATTTAAACTGTTATATGGTTAGAGGATTGAATAGAATATGATGGAATTATTGATTCTACTTATAAAATAGATACATTAAACAGCATTAGAACTTGACAAGTACTTGTTAAAACTATAAGAACATTGAATATAGTGGAAAATCACAAAGAAAATAATGTTTCCTTGTTTATCATATCAAAGGTTATGTAAAATTAATATTCAAAAATAAATAAAACATAATTTATAAACCACACTGCGTAGTGCACATCATTAGATGTAATAATACATTTCTATATGCATATATTTTCTTAAATTGAATATATATGAATTTATAAATTATTTAATATAAAAGATTATCAACACAACCTAATCCTACAACATTGTTATACAGACTAAAATTAACTGATGCGTTATACGTAGTTAGTGATAACATATTAGAAAAACTTTTAACAAGCTCTTTCGCAAGTTAAAACTTACTAATTATAATAAAGCATAAGAACAAAATTATATATTTATAATAATTAATAGAGCGACGGTGGCTCAGTGGTTTCAGCACTTGACTTGCAATCTGCAGGTCCTGGGTTCGCATCCCGCCATGTACCAATGTGTTTTTCGATTTTCGATTTACATATGTACATTTATCCGACGTTCTTACGGTAAAGGAAAACATCGTGATGCAACCTGCACATATCTGAGTAGAAATTCAAATGTGTGAAGTCAACCAACGCGCACTTCGCCAGCGTGGTGGACTATGGCCTAGTCACCCTTAACTTAGGGTAGGCTCCGAGCCCCTCAATGGGGACGTATAGTGAGCTGATGATGATTTATAATAGTCAATGTCAAAGGTCAGTTTCTAGGTATCTTTAATATGTTTAACATATTTAACAGTGAAAACTGTTATGTACTGCATCTCATATACATAACATGCTAAATACAAAACACTCTGCATGCTATCACTAAGTTCCGCCACTTTACGATACGAGTGTTTTAAAAATGTAACGAGTTATTCTACAATAGATAATGTGCTTTAATACAAGTAAATAGGATTCAATTTTGTATACTTATTTCATAGCAGAAGTAAAAATTGAAATTAACACTGCTAAGTGGTGGCTTATCATGTTAGTGCAATCTACATAATTACTTAACAAGATCGGTAAAGTAATATTTACTTTGGTGGTACGCATATATTCTTTATGTATTATAAGGAGGCCACTTAATGAGTCAACTTGTCTGTACTATAATATGCTAGGTGTTTGTTTGTCTCACCGCTTGCTGCTGTTGTCGCAGCTGGTGCTCGAGGTCAAGCGTGCGCGCGCGCAGTCGCCGCACTTCCTCCGTGCCTGAGGACGACGCCTCAACCGTCTCTGCAAGTATATAAATATATTGATAACTACACTACTTTATTTGTCATACACACATTTTGAACATCACAATGTAAACAACAAAAAAAAACTATTTATTATTTGAATAATGTTTAGGTCTACGGTACGGTCCATCTTGGTCAATTTTACATGTAAAAAAAATTAAAGGGCTATCTAACCGCTGACAAGTAGCTGCAAACTCTGTATCTCCGACTTCTGGTTGTGGCTGAGTGTCTGCAGCTGCTGCAGCGCGGCGCGCAGGCTCAGCACCTCCGACTGCAGCTGCTCGCGCTCTATCACCATCTTACGCATGTCCTCTGTACAGTAACAACAACTTATGTTGCATGTACAAGTAATCTAATGCAATCCATTTAAAAATATAAAACTTTTTCCATATAAATAATATTGTTATATTAATCCAAAATAATTGTAATTTGGTTGTTTGTATGAAACGCTAATACAGTTGAACATCTATATGTGAAAGCCAGTCCCAACAGACAAACTCCATAAGTTAGAAAGTCAGAGGAGAAAAATACTGTGATCTCTTTGACTATCAACTATTCAGGATCAACTGTATTAGAGTACTGTTGATAAAGATGCAACTATCAGTGTGTGAAACTATATTAAACATTAACAAACAGTTAAAAATAACATCTTGTGTTAAAGATTAAGCAACACATAAGCACATTGAATCATTACATAAGTGAAAGCCAGACAAAATAGCACACAGTGCATATAAACATGTACCGAGGTCTATGGAGTTTACTCTAGGTAAAAATATAAGGCTAATGTGAAATTATTATTGCTATGAGTTCAAGTGTTTGCACTTAATTTTGAATAGTTAATTCTATAATAAATACTTAAACAATGAGCTCTTGAAAATTTCAAACTAATGGGATTTTAACAATACCCATAAGCATGCAGACATATTTGTGATTTTATAAGAACTTCTCTTATGAATGACAAAGACATACTTCCAACGTAGCACTAGACAAACCATTACCCCTATGTTGCATCGACAAACTAAAGCTACAAACCTTCTTTCTGTAAAAAAAGTTCTTTCATTTTTGCTCTCTGGATGTTAAATTCTTCTTCGAGATCGCGCCTCAGCGTGTCCGGGGAGGGGGGTCCGCCTCCTCCGTCCTCAACTTGAAACAGAAACACTACTCAGCCGCTTGAACGGCAGGTAAATGCACACCACGGACCACCAAATAGGTGCAGGTGCAAAAAAAAAGCATGAAAGCAGTTCAAACGAGGGAAGCATAGCGTAGAGTGCAATGCCACTATAAATATGTAAAGACTTGATAGACATTTCCTTCTTTCTGCTTGTCCAATTTTCGGTCCGTTATGTTAGCACTGAGACCAAATAACTAAATGAAAATCACAAAAACACACCTGCAACTGTCGTTTCGCCGGACATCTTAGATTGGTCATTCATTTCACCTGAAGTGAGTTTATGGCTAGCAAGACTTGATTTTTCGATTTTTTACCATTGTTTTAAGGTCCAAGACACTGACTCATGTTGAAATTAAGCGTAAAATTAGAAAAATTACTGTTCTTGAGAATTGTTTGACAGTTGACGTTGACGTTAGTCAGGAAGAATGCAGGAAATGAATGACAATAAAAAAATTACAGAGTATAAACATTGATCCACAAACTTATTTGGGACTGCGGTTGGTGGCGCTATTATCGCGGTCAGTTCAGGTTTTGTCAGAAAATATGCTTTTAAACAACGATATTGTTCGTATTCTTTTATTATTCTTATATTATTCGTAGTATTTTCGTAGAAGAACACGTAGGCTATATATTAAGTTTCTTTGTAATTCCGCGCAGACTGGGTCCCGGGCGACAGTTAGTTCCTTATAAGAAAAGGAAGGGAAGAGGCTAAAAATAAGCCACCGGCACGCACATTCGTCAGACGAAACATGGAATTGCTTTAATTTTATGCCTGCCTTCTGTGTAGTATTGCACTGGGTGACCCGACCAATTTGTGCAACAGATGCATCGTTTTGGCATCTAGATTTTCATCATCTGTTAAAATGTTATATATTGTAATTAAAAACCTCAAATTCATACTAAATATATTTATTTGGTATAATTAATTTACATTCACTGCTTTACAATTTCTCATTACTCACATTTTATTCCATCTAATGAAGTAAATTAAAATGATTTATCTCCAAAACAATTATTTTTTTAAATCCCGACTGAAAATTATAAATTAGTGGAAAACGAGTTTGAATCTCACTCGCTAAAATTAGCAAGTTTTACATTTAACTTAAATGATTCACCAATTGCAATTAGTAATGATATAAATATCGCAATTTCTATCGTAGTCTATTCACATCTTTACAGTTTATTTAGTGTAAATTAATCATTTTAAAATCTTTGTTTTAGAATTTAGCCAACAGAGAGCGCTATTTCATTCATAACAGCCTGTGTCAGTCGGGTTTTTTGGTTTTTATAAATTAAGGTTAGGTTATAGTATTCAAAAACTCAATTAGTACCAGCCAAAAAAATGGAATAGGAAAAATAAGTTCTTAAATATTTATTTGACTACGTTCATTGTCGTCAACAGCGCCATCTTACAAATATTATACAGAACATTTCAAGGCACAGACATATCACAGGTTTAAAATCTAATTAATTATAAGAATATATATTACTATCTAAATATTTACACATTTAGCGCACACTTTAAATGCAATATTACAGCATAACAAAAAACAAAACTGTGCGAAATTCAAAAGTTCACTTCCGATGGCGCTGTAATTCGTTACACTTCTCGCCGCTAGATGTCACTAGAACCCTTGCTTTGCTTCTCTAAACTGTCTCCCCGTCGGCTTGTCTTCGAGACAAGGCACCTGCACTAGGTTGAAGTAGATGTGGCCCATGAGGTGTGCAGCGGAAGTGTTCGTGTGCTTGAGGCAGTCGAAGAGCATGTCGTCGCAGGTGCAGTGCGACTTGCTGTAGAGCGAGTTGTTGGTGAGGTTGTAGCGCCGCGAGAAAGCGCGCACCTTGGTGGGGCAGAGGTCGTGCGTGCGGCAGCAGCGATCCAGCGCGCGGTCTGCCCCCAGGTCGTGGTAGTCCGTCGCAATGTCGCCCGTGCCGCACCACTTTGTACCTGCAAATGTCATATATACAATAAACTGAATGTAGATATAGTGAGTTAATTCCAAACAACAATAACGACATCAGCAAAGTAGTACCGGGAATGATGCCCTGCAGCAACGAGAGCGGACTGCCGCCGAGCAGGCCGGCGTGTGCGCCGCCCGCCCGCAGCCGCGCCGCCGCTCCGCGCTCGCGCCATGCCCCGCTGTCCGCGCGCCCACTGTCCCACGCCTCCACGCCCTCCACCTGACACACAAAACATATAATATAAGGATACATTAACTAAATTACTATGATTGAATAAACCACGAAATATCTAAAAGATTAATAATTAGACTGAGTTTACCTTAATTAATTTCCATCTTAGAATCATGGTGTATATAAAAAAAATATTAGAAAACAAATTGCGTAATGCCACATTATGAACAATATGCGAAGGAAGCATTATTATCGATGGTTCGAAAATGGCGGGAAATATAGGTGATTCGTGTCAAGGTCGTATGTGACAGCTGGTTATTTTGTACGCGAAAACAAATTAGTTTCAGAAAAAATACAAAAAATATATTAAAGGATTCTGTATAAAAATTATTTAATTTAGCAATCTCCGTATATGGTCATGTCTTACACTCATCAACGATGACTATACTTCTTTAATTTCTTTGGTTATTTTACTCTTAGTAAGATTTTTCCGTAGTCCGTTAGCCGTAATAAACTACTGACGTGAAACTTTTTATTTCTAGTTTGACTATCATGGCAAGGCACCTGTATTTCTCCACGGGAAAAACAGATGTAGAGTGTCGATTCTCAAGTAATTTTTAATCTAAAAATTACTTACAATTTGTGTTTTTGAAGGTTTTATTTAACGGACAGAGAACCCCGAAACATATCATTATGGTAATGGCTTGTTTGTGAATTGTGAAGGCACATCTCGGATAATGACCGTTAGCGCACTTTGTGACCATCAACATTTTTTACTTCTATTTTGCATTAGACATATGCAATCCATAATACGTTGCAAATTATGCAATTTTACGAAGAAAAATATATTTCTTATGGTTTAAATTAATTTTCGTGTACTTGCATTATTATTTTACATTTGTAAAATCTATAAAATTTACGCTAATACAATGAACACTCACATTGTTGAAAATTTCATAAGCTGTGTGTTATGAAAGAAAAGTCAATTTAATACGCGTAGCTTTTGAGATAAAACTGACGACAAAACCTCTGCTTATATAAGTGATGATCAGAATTAAACCTTTCTGTATATCAAGTAACTTTTTTATTTAAGAGCAATTGAATGTTTTCCGATAGATGGCGCCAATATATGTCAGTACTTTTTTTGTATAATGTTACAATTATAATGAAGTATGTACATTGAAGAGTTTACAGGAGAAGTGAATAGAAAACAATGCAGTTTCCGGGTAGTGTAGCGCGCCATGTAGGCAATGTACGCAAAACACTATTGTACATGTAATTGACTGTTTCCCGCCATTGTATTCTGTCCATGTCTTGTTTACTTTCTTTGAATTTCTCTATTTCGAATGTTGATTCGACTTGTCTTATAATGTCAGATAAAATCGGATGGAAGGTCGTTGCAATCCATTGTAATACTTCTTCAAATTAGAAAAAGTGGATGCTTTAAATTTTTTAATAAGCCTATTTTTATATTTTATTATGGCATGGCTTGTACTTTTGCATGGCTTTTTGTTTTTTTGTTTTTACAAAAAAAAGATGCATTACTTATGTCATGCTGATGAATTAAACTTAGCCATCGCTGTGATCTCGTCGCAACACACAGGGCCACTCAGTTTGAGGCCGCTTTTTGTTTCCGAAGCTTCACAGAATTTTAAGTACTCCTAGGATAATGTTAGCGGATAGTCTTTTGTTTCTGAAAGTTGTTGATCATCGTGATGTTTATTTGTTTTTAACAAGAGAAGCATCACTTCGCTAATCAGATATTTAATTTTATTTGTGGTTCCGGTAAGTTAAACGATATTAAGTACAACCGAAACAGACAAACGTGTATTTGTAGTTATATGTGGTGAGAGGGTCGTCCGAGTGTCATCTAAATGTTCACGCGTGTTTCTTGGTCGTTACCTGCTGGCATTGGCTCATGAGTTTGATCATCTGCGGGAAGGTGACGTCTAGGGGCCGGTTGATGCGCGTCAGCTGCCGCAGCAACCTGCTCGTGTCCTCTTCATCACTGGAACAAAACAAATACAACAAAGTTAGCATACTATTGCTTATCAATCAAAGAATTTTTGCCAATGTACACAAAGGGCTATAGAGCTAAGAAAGAGGAATGAATTTTTGAACCATATTTGAGTTTGTTTCTCGCGTACCCTATCAGACTATGCGTAGGGTCAATTTAGCAATTGGCGTGCAATTGTCCTACTTCCATTGACCCATATGCGGCAGAGTGCGGGGTTCGAGGCCGCGGTTGCGCAACGCCAGCGGCGACGAGCGCCGACCTCACTTTCTCCAGCATCACTCACTCTACTTGTGATGTGATCTCGCGTGATGCGTCAACACGTGTGAATTCAACATAGAAATGGATAATGATAAAAGAAAGTAACAGTCGAATCAATAGTTCGTTTAAAATATGATCTAATAAAAACTTTAAATTGAATATTATAGCTTCATAATTGTAGCAATTAATATATTGGTTTGAATCTTTTTCTTTATTCACATCATTTAATAATTTTTTTGCTTCCTAAGAATTTGGATATTAATTCGAAGCGAAATTTTGCCCTACTTTTATATAACGAGGAGCCAGACATAGTAATAAATAACTTTCTTGTGCGTTGTCAATGCTAATAATTGCCGGAAATCGAAGCTAACATCCGACTGGTTGTGCTCCACTGGGCAAACATACCAACATGCGTAGCGACGAACACTTCCTCTCCGATTGTCATACTTTGTAGCAATCCTGTTATTGGAAACCAGAAGCACAACGTTCACATCGCTTACAAAACTAAGGTGTACTTATGCTATTGCGTGGGTAAAAAATAATTACTAAACTTGAATTGTTTTATATACAAAAACGCAGTAACCAACAAATAAAGTAATGTATCATATTTTGTATTGATATAGTATTGGCGTATTAAAAAGTTTATAGAAAGGAGGTTAAATATTAAAGTAGGTTAGTTATATTTTCGTTGTCTACAGCGCAGTGTTACGTGCGGCTTATGTAAATTGTAAGTCAATAAAAATTGTATTTGTAACCCACTTCCGAAACACGTTTATATAAAAACTGTTTAAGTTAACGTTTAAATGACACCAGTTAAACAAATGACAAAGTTTTCTTTTTTTATATCAAAAGGTGGCAAACAAGCGAGCGGCCACCTGAAATCGCTGAAATAGCGAAGTGACCGTTGCCCACAGGCATACGAATTTGCATATGCGTTGCCTACCTTAAATCGACGGAGGAGAGGATACACAGAAAGAAAATATTTCCCCATCCTCTCATCCGGAAAGTCCACTTCCA